ACAACACAAGTATTTATTTCTTTAGAGACCTGCTAAGAGCAGCAGCCAGGATTAATGAGCATTTTCGATTTTTCTCTATAGCTGTCTCCAAAAGTTGCCATTGCTGTTTTTGACTTTGAAAATTCTGACTTCCAAGACCAACTCTGCACTCAAAGGCAACTATCTTTTCTTACATTTGAGTTCTATTGAGTACAGCTAAGCTGATCCCTAAAAAAAAACGCATTGACATTCATTATTTTGATGCTTTAATTAGATGATTGTTGTTCAGAGACAAAAAAATGGCAGTTTGGAACAAAAGAAGGCTAATTTTAAAGTTTAAAAACATCCTGAAAATAGCGCAAGATTCTGAGTGATTAACACTATAACATGCAGGGGTAAATGTATAAAAATGAACATACATTTTCTCTGCGCTTTTCCTTCACAATCACTAATGTTTCATGATAATTGATGATGATGATGATGATGATGATGATGATGATGATGATGATGATGATGATGATGATTTGATTATTAAGCTTAAGGTTAAGATTAAATTATGCTTAAAGTCCCCATAGCTGTTCTAAAATAGAACAGCTATGCAGATTGTTCTGATATAGAATATTGTGGGAGAGTGGTGCCCTAGTGGTTAGAGCAGTGCGCTTGTGCTCTAAGAAGATTGCAACTACCCGGTTTAATCCTTAAAGACTCCACTCTGGGTTCCTGAGTAAAACCCTTAACCCCATACTGCTCCCTGTGCGCCACACAATGGCATCCCACTGCTCCCCAAGAGGATGGGTTAAAATGCAGAGAGTTAATTTCCCCATTGTTGGTCAATAAAGGGATTTACATTCAGGCTTAGGATGCTGGGGAACATTTCCTCACTCTCCTACATTGTACTTCAATTCTCCAGTTAAACATTATTTGTTAGTTCAACCCCAAACTTTATGGTTACATTTTTTTTCCTCTCATCATCGCTGCACACAAACGTGAATCAAGGCATCAGCTGAGCTGCTCCCTTCACCAGCTCCCCTTGTAGACAATAGAGCCAGTTCATGTTAAGTCCTGTTTCTCTGCTGGACATAGCTTTTGAATCAGTTTTAATTTTAAATAATTGTATTATCTGTCTTTTAACAATTTTTGAAAGGAAAACATGTGCAGGAAATAATTCAAGTATCAGTGCTTCTGTGTTTCTCTTGCATGTCTGCTTCTGTGTTATTGAGTTCCCAGTCATCCTCAGTTTCAATTTCATAATGCACAATTGCTCATCAACAAGGAGCAAATCCTGCAAAGTTAATGACTGGAAGCACATGCTGGGTTACCTTAGATAGAACACTTTTAACCAATCTGTCTGTACAATTTGAATGAAACCTCTTAGGAAAGGGCCTTGTGATGAAGTATTGTGAGTTGGTGCTTTATAATTAAAACTGAATAAACTGAGTACATGCTAACTTGCATGAAAATCTAAGCGGCTAAAGGCATCACCTGGAACAATCCCCTCAAATGAAGAGGCATAGCACTATAAACACTCAGAAGGCTTACATGGGGAAAATAAAGTAAATTCATTGATGTGAAATACAGGTAATATGGAGATATGTTAAATCAGGACATATGTAGTTTGCACTCATTCGTCCAGTGCAGGTGAAATATTTTTTTCAGCCACAGTGTGAATAAATTCGATATATCTTTTTTTATACATCCCATAGGGCTGGTATTGCATGGCTTAGTGTTAAATTTTAATTGTCTGACCTGTCAGCCAGCTCCCCAACAATTCTCTGGTTTTGAAGAACCCCAGCCGAGCCAGAGCTTAAACCAGAACCCTCAGTTCTCCCGGTTTCCTTCTGAAAAGCTGGAGCCAGTCCAGTGCAAAGCTCCAAAATAATTCCCCAGGGAAATCTAAACTGGCCGATAAGCCATGCATCATCAAATCCTCTCAGGTCTGAACAAAACACACTCTCTCCAAATTCTTCTTCCATTTACGATGTCCTACAGTAGCCTCACAGCCTCTTTTGTTCCACAGTAAAACAGAACCTTACACAGCTATGTATGGATTTGCGTGATTGTCTACACCTTGTCCAAGCTAAAAGATTACAATCACACCTGGATATAATCTGGTGATCTGCCTCCACTGCATTCTCAGTGAGAATGATAGAGCCCCTTGGACAACAGACACTCATTTTAAGCTCCTCACTGTACAGACCGATGTACATTTCATCAGAATGTGAAAAAACACTGAGAAATAGTTACATCCATTTGCTGTGGTTTTCTTGGGATGTGTTGCATTCATTTAAAATAAATGTGGTTCAGTTTCATCGTTTGCTCCTACAGTAAATAAAAAACTGAACTGATTCATATTTCGGTTCATTCATGTGCAATTTAGTTTTTTTTTTATTGCTGATTGCAAATGTTTGGATGACTGACTCACATTTTTATGCAGGTCACAGGGTTTTGTGGATTGCTTCACATTTTCACACAACATTTTTATCTATCCTGATTCATGCTTAACCAAAAGCAGAATGCAAGAACTATAAAGATAACCAACTTCAACTTTGTGAATGTAAAAATGAGCAGAACAAAAATGTATCCAAAAGCTTTCCCTTTTTGCCTTTTGTTTGTTATTGCTTAAAAACATGAGCCAGGAAAAAGTAAGGATTGTATAAGAATTTAGATTAAATCTTAGAATATAGATTTTTTTGTTAGATTATTTAATAATCAACTTTATTGATATATTTTTTTGCTAATCCTGCCAGACAATGGTCATGGGGAACCTATGTCTAATAAAACCAGCCCTCTCTTTATCTACATACACAGTATCTAAACTGTTTTCCAGATCTTATGATTTCATTACTTTTCTTCAAATAAAATGGATGAAATAACACAGTATTACATTACTTGTCAACATAAAACCGCACTGGTTTGCTTTTTTTTTTTTTAAACACACACTATAAAATAAGCTGATGTGTTTATGTAAATAACAGCTGGAGAGATTATGATTTGAAAAGAAGTCTTAAAATAAGAGAAAAACTTTGCAAAGCGTCCAATTTATAGGACTGCAATACATTCTGACTCTTTGGAAGGAGAGGGAAAAAAAACTGTCAGAGGTGTTCTGCATGCATTCATTAACTATTTAAATGTTCAATATAAAGCAAATATAATAGGGATGCACGATATAATCGGCCCATTATCGATATCGGCCTGTATCGGCCTTAAAACTGAATATCGGACATCGGCCACCCCACCGATATGTTACCTGATATTTGATCAGCTTCTGAGTTTCTAAAGTCTAAAAAAAATAAAAAATAAAAAAAATACTACTTCTTCTTCCTCCTCCAAAACTTCTTTTTTACAGACTTAAAAACTTTTAAAGACGAGGGAAAAAATATTGATACATTAAAATATCACAATATCTTCATATGCTGATATATTGCCATTTAAAAACACCATATCAATCTCTTTTACTAATGAAATATTGCTATATGTCATCGTTATGCTACAAATTTCCCTCGAAAATTCACGAAATTTTGCCATATTTTCATATGTTGATATATTGACGCGGTATCTATCTATTTTACTAACAAAATCTCACAAGAATTTGCAAAATATCACGAGAGTTTGTAACAGAACGATGAAATTTCACGAGATTTTAAAAAGTAAAATAGATCGATACCGCATTTTTAAAAATCAATTTAATATCAGCATATGAAAATATATTTGAGTATATTACTTTTTAAAATAGTCAGAAATGGATAACAAAACTGCTATTTTCAATGACTACTTATTTTTGTCCAGCTTTAACATCGGTATCGATATCGGTTATCGGCTACATGAGTTTTAAAACATCGGCATATCGGATATCGGCCAAAATCCCAATATCGTGCATCCCTAAAATATAATATAAATATGTGCTTTATATTTTATGATTTTCTTTCAAATAGGCCATTTTCTGTTACAAATGATTGTTTATTTGAGATGGATTCATTATAATTAGCAGAATAAAATGCTTCCAACCAGAAAAGTATTTATATCACTGCATTAAACTTATCTAGATGATGTTCTGTGACTGAGGTTAAATACATGGATATATGCTTAACTTAAAGGTATAAAGGACAATCTTTTTTTCCAGGTGGATCATCTAAATAAGTGGTCCTCCTAATTGTCAATCAGTCTGGTGATATGTTTACGTAAGGCCGTCCTACATGCTCATCTCTTTAGCTGTCTTTTTCTGTGCATGGGCTCTCAGACGTAAATGTGTAGTTAGCTACGGTTTCAGCCCGTCATTGAAGCTCACCTTTCTCACCATGGTTCTTTGAAAATGTCAGAGGATTGTAAGAGAGATAGTGTCTAAGAAGTATATAAGAAGAAAAGACAGGCCTCAGAAGAGGCAGATATATCCCGGAATGCTTTGCACGGAGAGCTCTCCTTGCAAAGCATTATGGGATCAGCGGCGCGCTGTCGCCATAGACTGTTGCTACCCGACAGCGCCGACTAATAACAAAGATGGTGTAAGCACTGGATACATGGTGGAGGAGTTATGTGACCAAAAAGCAATGATCATCTGTCTGAACAGTAAGTTAACTGAGTTTGAAGGATTTAGGAGTTAGGGCGGACGTTCAGGCCCAGTAAGCTTGTATGAGCTATGAGAACAGCAACACGCATTGAAAGGGGTCATAGAATGATTATATAGGGTATTTGGTGCTGGACTTTAAGGTCTCTGAATAGGGTGTGTAACATTGGTTGGCATATTTGCTGCTCTATGAACCTTAATGCTGGTTAAAAGTCCTAGAATGAAACGACAGGTTTTCTTCCTTTTATGGTATGCTCATGAATATTTAGATGAGCTGTGCGCTGATTGGTTGGTTTACAACGAGCGAAGCTGCTGAGCAAATCATAGCAACAAGCACTGACTCACTGAAACATCGAAACTGTTGATATGGTAGGTTATTTTCATCTGTTCTTATAGGCTTAAGGAGACTTTTAATAGAGGTCAAGGTCTGAGTAACTATGCAACTTGTAGCTGCTCTCACCTTTTTTAGACGTCCACTCCTTGTTCCCAGAAAGACCACGTTGTGTCCATTGTACAGATAGGAAGTGACAGAGGTAAGCCGGTCCCTCCGCTCTGTAAACACCGTCCGACCGGACACTAGCTGGGAGCCACCCAGGGGTTGGTTAATATCCAGGCCACAGAAGTGATCGTCGATAGGAACCGGCTGCAGGGAGAAACACAGAAGGTCAAGATCAGGATAGAAAAAAATTAATGATAAAAAAAAGAGGCATGAAGAGAAGAGGTAAGAGGTGGATGAAGGCAAAAACAGAGAGGCTTGTTGAGAAGGAACAAAATAAGAAAGAAGCTAGAGATAATTACAGAGGTGAGGGCTGTATGTGGAGGACTAAGATCACTGTAGACACATACGAGTATAGGATAAAAATCCAAACTGACTCTCAGAAAGCCTAAAGAAGATGAAGTTCACCTTTTTGAGTGTTGAAAGTATTACATCAAAAGGGCTGATGGGCTTTTCAACAAGCCGTGGTGCCAGCAGTTTCATGCTGCAGGGTTAATTGCTCATGGCAAACAGAAGAAAACTGTTTATTTTGTGCCTGTTTCTGTGATTTTTAGATTGCTTGATCTGACATCACACAAACACACAGCAAGCAATGTCAAGCATCAAAGAGTCTGAATGCTCAGCAATCCTTCTTCCACATCTGCTAACATGCACCTCAAAATTTTGCTAATTGTCTGTCACTTAATATAAAAGACTCATTTTAAGAAAGTTTATTTTTTTTTATTTTACATCTCTTCTTTATGCTAATGTGAGGTTTTACTGTGCTTTTTATCTTTCATCAAATCATATGCCCTAGTTTTACTAAAAGTGATTTGTGCAGCAAGTTTAACATTAATAAACTTTATCATCTGACTCTCTGCTTTGACCACCAATCTTGATCATGAAAAATTTAACAACTTTTAGTAAACATTGAAAAACATTTCTTCCTCAGATTCAATTATTGAGCTTATTGCTTGGTTTGTACCTAGAGGAAGCACATCTCCGTTAGCTTTGTGTACAAAAACAATAATCTATAGGTGAATGAATAAAATCAGGAACAATTATTTATTTATTCATCTGTTTTCTTCCATTTATTTTAGACCAGGGGTCTGTTTCATAGAGCAGGTTTACTGAAAACTCAAACTTGTCTAAACCTTAAAACAGGGCAACACTGACTTTTTGTTTGATGAGGATCTTAGTAAAGAATGATATGATCTTTTTCAGAAAGAATTAAATATTTATAGGGAGAGGATTGTACAACTCTGTTGACATGACAGGAGATTACTTGTTTTTAGTTTGTTTAATATGAGTGAGATGCAGATCATTTTATTTTTATTTAGGTATATTTACAGTACATGAAGAACTACTGAAAATATTTTCAGATTACACATAAATAGATTCATTAATTCCGCGGGGGAAAAGGAATTAATTTAGGGTTAGGATTCACTCGATGATAACACCCTAATGAGTCTACTGGCACAATCTGAAGCCAGTTTATGGGAATGACAGCCGCTTATAACGGCCGTTTGTCTGCAAACATCCACTTAATTGTGTAAAAGAAGACTGAATCAACATGAGGAGGATCGCATGAGATGATGCACAGGTTCTATATATTAGAACAACCTTTTAATTATTCATTTTTACCTGCTGCATTATTCAAGAAATAATCCTTTAATATTTTCAGAACTCTATGGCAAGCCGTGTTCATATGTACTAGTTTTACAGAATATGCATTCATGATATCAGAAAAAAATAAATAAAATTTTTTTGTCTAAATGACCATTTTCAGATATTTCTTAGAGGATCTTCTCAGTGGGATACTCCAGCAAAACTTCTGAACTTCTCATTTTTTTTCTAATGTGTACCTCAATCCTTTCATTTGCCTTTTTGCTTTGCTGCTGAATTTACAGATTGTTGGATAGAGCTATTTCCATTCTATTCTATTCTATTTTGTTCTGTTCAATTCCATTCAGATATGTCAAGGTTTTTCACCCTGCTTTTCTCAGATGATAGAGCTCCACACCCTGTCTCCGAAACAAAGCCTGGGAACCTAACGGAGAAAGCTCTTTTTTGCTACAAGTATCTGGGATCATTTTCTTACAGTCATAATCTATATTTCAAGATCAAAGCTGAGGAATAGATAATGGGCAGTCTACTAAATTGAGAGTGTTGGTTTATGGCTTTTTCTTTATTCACTACAAAAAAAGAGATTAATTGACACATTATAGAAAGCAAAAGACCAAATTTCTGTATTCATCTCCCAGTCAGTCCTACTTACATCAAGACAGTTAAAAAAAGGCTTAAAGCAAATCTAGCAATAGTTTTAAGTCTAGATTCATGGTACTCTACTCAATAGGTTTTACTTTGTATGGCATTTCAATTTTTAAAAAGTATTAAGAAACTTAACTGAACTTATGCACTTTAAAGAATTTGACCTTTGACTAGCTCTTTACATATTTGAAACCTAAATGATCTTTTTCCACAGTTAAAGCATGCATAATCACAACCCGATCACACTAGCAAATTCAGTGTTTGTTACTGAAGGAAGACAAAAGTTTGATATTTTACTTATTAAAAAACCTTTTATTAAGATATTTTGACTACTCAACTAACCTGCTACACTATACGATAACAAATAACAGGAAGACTAAAAGTAACAGTAGTTAGTATTAGTAATAGTAGTTAGTATTAGTAATAGTCATAGGCTTCCTACTCTATAGGGATAACAAAGAGACTGCTGATTAGTAATGCTAACTGTGCTAAATGCTACTATTATACTAAAAACAGTTTGTAGCCTCGTTTTCACAGTGTTGCTGTGTAACTCTGACTGCCCACTTTAACATATGATGTAATACCTGAACGCATCAATGTCTTTTCTAAACCAAAAGGCTTTTAAAGGAGCCTGTTTAGTAACGATAATTAAAGCATTATTCAACGATGAGTGGATACTGAATCAAAGGTTTTTCCACTCAAAGGATCAGTGGGACACAGCCTTATTTTATTCTTAATTGAACTTCTTACAATAAATTATGCATCTTGTGATATGGTGTGCTTATACATAGTTAGATTTGCAGAAAAAAAGAGAATAAAGCTAGCTGTAATCACTCTGAAAAGTCAAAGGAGATATGATGTAATACTTCTAGATGGTTTTACTTTATATTCAGTCAAGTCTGTTCCATTATATTGACTTTTACCAGGTTTTTAGTTTTTATATTGAAGATGCAGAAACAGCTTGATAACGTTTTACATGTTTTTTGAGAAATCAAGACCTTATCCTACTACTTAGTTTTCATTGTTAAGACATTTGAGTTGAGATATTTGTTAGGTAAGGTTCCTAAAAAACAAACAAAATTAAACTTTGCTAGAATTATGCACAAAACTTGTGCAAAAAATCTCTGATTGCGGCATGCACTGTAAAATATCATTCCAATTTACCTTATCATCTAAGAAATTTGCAGATTCTAACCTATTGCCTTTATAACTCTAAACATGTGAGGAAGGAAATGGTTATCATTTAATTCAAGTATATCTTTTTGTCATTTCCTTTTATATCAGCATTGGGATTGTACTGCAGAGACAAATGTTAGTGTTGATCTTTGTATTTTGCTAACAGTGTGCTTAAAGAAATACTCAGCAGCGACTGATTGCTTTTTTTTTTGTCAGATTACTATATAGAGAGAGTCTTGCTCCCCAGTTGGAGACTATTGTTCAATAACTACCTAACATGTTTCCTTATCTGATGCTTTTCTGTACAAGTTACATCTTATTTATAGAGAATTTCAGGATGGAATCAAAGTATGAGTTACGGATCATTATAGCAAATCCTGTGAAGGATTTTAATGTTTTTTATGCTTCATTTTCAGCTTATTTCCAAGAGAGGTGCTCATTATGCAGAATTACAGCTTTCACAAAGACCCAGACTTGGACATTTACAAGAAAGGCCTTTTTCTCAAGATCAAGAACAGGTCTCAAAGGGATCGAGTACTGCTGACAGCGACAAGAGCAGGAGAAAGAAAATTAGGGAGAGAGAGGCAGAAAAGAGAGGTGGAGAAGGAGGTGGGATTCAGTGTTCAAACCCCTGAATGAAATCAAAGCTCTATACAAAACTCCCCTGATTAGCATTGTGGAATTTATCTCCCCAAGCAATACCACAGTAATGGGATCCTCAGACCTGAATGCTTTATGCAGAATGGCCCAGACTGACTGCCTATTAGATGTTAAAGTTAGAATCATAGTTATGGAACAGTTAAAGGAAAGAAAAATGGTTAAAACCTAATTCTTTGTTCACATCACTGTTTGTGATGTGGTCTAAAATCATGTGTCTACTCACAGCCTTTGTGCACTGTACGTCTTTTCCTAGCAGCCAGTGGAGCTCCAGGTTTCCCTCTCCCTGGTAGCAGGACTGTAGTCGCTCCCTAATTCGCATGTTGATGGCTTGGATGGTGAAAATGCAAAGAGCTGAGTGATCTGAAGGGTCATGATACTGCTTTTGTCCTTTGGAGAACACGGCAAAGAGGACATCCTCCTGAGCACTGATGTTGAGCGACTTAGCCAGCACCCTGCCGGCCTTAGAGAGGTAAGCCGCCTGCAGCAGACGGTACTCCTCACCTCTATGTACGCAGCCCACCGGAAGAGAAACGTACGAATGGAACTTTTTGTCACCTTTACAGAGCCGGATGATGCGAGACGTGTAAAATAGGTCACCAGGGGAGCCGCCAGCAGGCATCCCGTTCTCTGGCGTCTCTGGCTGGACAGTCATGAAATACACAAAGGCTCCACTGGAGAAACCATAGATGTAGTAGATGTCAAAATGTGGAACAAGAGCTAGCGTGTCAGAAGGGATTTTGATAAGAGATGAAACAAAATCAGTGTGAAGCTCGTAGTCGAGCATGGCAGAGGACTCTGGGTCACGGGGCAGCTTACGGCTGGAGATAGTTGGAAAGTAATCCTGTTTGCCGCCAACAGCAGTGCCAATGTACAGAGTGGCATCCTGTCCCTGAGAGGGAACGATGACCCCGTACATTGTTCCTGTTTGGTTGTCACTGGACAGATAGTGTTCTTTCTTATGAGTGGGCTCTACTAGGATGAATAAGTCATCTAGCCTCATCAGCTTACAGATGCCCTGATAAAGACTGCCACAGGCCAGCAGCCGATTGTGGGAGTAGTCAATGAGCAGCAGTTTGTTGACGTTGTCCGTCGAGGCCAAAGGCTCAGAACAGGGTTGAACTATCAAGGGAGGATAACATGCTTTGTTATCGTACTCTGGACCAGTGTCATGGGATACCAAAAGGGTGAGATTGGCAGACATTTTGTAGATCCGGTTGACCGCTCCGATGTACAGAGTCCCAGTGGACTGATGCACCGTCAGATGGTTCAATGGCCATTCCCTCCTCTCTGACTGGAAGGTGTTCATTGTCTGTCCAACGGTGTTCTTTTGATTCAAAAATACTAGAGTCAATAGACACAGGGCCAGGGGCCACGACATAACCTTTGGAGGGCGGTGACCTTTTCTGAGGCTGTAGTAAGTCCATCCTTTATCTGAGCATGTCCCCATCCCCACAGGGCTCCACTGAATACCAAGCTCAGATGAATGGGGTTGCGTACCGACGGTTTGATTGCACAGAGGAAAAATGAGCTGAGAAGTGGCCTTGTCTGAAGTGATCTTCACATCATTCTAAAGAGGAAAAAAAGAGAGAGAATTGCTTATAAATATAAACAAACCATTGATTATTTCAAGTGAGAGAAATTAGCTCTCAAGATATAATAAGACACTTCATTTGAAGACCTAGAAATACATGGGCTTGTTTTTTTCTTTTATCCCTGCTTAGTCAGATGCAAAACACATAAAAAAAAAACATGTAATCATGTGTTCTAAGTGCCTGCCTATATTTACTAACCAGTGAGACAGTCCAATCTTACATCGGGGAGGCCCATTATATTGGCTGCTTTGTAAGACAAACCAGCTTGCCTTTCGAACAAAGCAATGACACAATGTAACCATGCATTCCCTTTTTTTGGGTGGCTAATTAAATTATCTGAATGCATTAATTAGGCATCCATATTTTGGGCTCTGTGTTTTCCCTGCTCCCCTCCCTCTTGTTCATTTAAATAGTTGAATCCAGGAGGAATTAATCACTCTTCATTGCAGTTGATTCCTAAATTAATCAGGCTTTTTCCAAGGATGGTAAGGAGTCATTAGAGATTCAGAGCCAGGCAGCATCAACCCTCACTCTTCCCTGTTTAATTTTACTTGCATATTTGATATTGATGTTCCAACAAGACAAACAGAGTCTGACAAGCAGACTGACTGAAAGGAGGTGAGAGTTACATATGAGAATGCTCAGCTGATTTCATGTATTTATTAAGTTTCTTATTTTTTGTCCCTAATGTTGTTTTGTCTTTGGAAGATGTTTCAGATAGAAATAAAGGGATAATTATTTTAGCATTTTGTTGTTTGGTTTTGTTTGTTTTTCATACTTTTCCCTCAAGATATTTTGTGAAAGAGATGCAAACAGCCATTGGCAACAACTGTGGAATCATAATACCTGGAGGATATTTAGTCATACATTTTCATGATTTAATTTACTCTCTGAAATAAGTAATTCCATCATCTTCCCTCTACTTCTATGCTTCCCAAACCCGTTTTATGAATACTATTGGTATATGCAAACTATCTGTGCTATAGTGCATAGGTAAGGGTTATGACATCAATCCATTTTAATGTCTAAACCCTCCTGCTCTTGTAGGGTTGTGAGGAGGCTGATCCCTTTCCCCACAAAACAAACTGTATGCTTTAAAACTATGCTGTTTTAAATGTTACACTGTTAAAATATCAGTCAAGATGGTGGGGCTTGGGAAACTTTGCATTTAGAAAAAGTATTAAACTAAAGACTAAAAATAGTACCATCAAATGATAAATAGTTTACATTTTTCAGGAAGGTTTATATCATAGTTAGTAAAATAAGACAAGGGTTTGATAGCAATTACTCTCTATTTGCTGTTACCTGATTATTTCAGGTAATAGCAACCAAATATTAAACAATATTAAGCAATATATAAGTTCCGAAGTTGAACAAGTGAAACTGGATAACTGGATGTTCTTAACATTTTTTATACATTGTGAATGCAAAATACACTATATTGCCAAAAGTATTTGCTCACCCATCCAAATTATTGGAATCAGGTGTTCCAATCACTTCCATGGCCACAGGTGTATAAATTCAAGCACCTAGGCATGCAGACTGTTTTTACAAACATTTGTGAAAGAATGGGTCGCTCTCAGGAGCTCAGTGAATTCCAGCGTGGAACTGTGATAGGATGCCACCTGTGCAACAAATCCAGTCGTGAAATTTCCTCGCTCCTAAATATTCCACAGTCAACTGTCAGCTGTATTATAAGAAAATGGAAGTGTTTGGGAACGACAGCAACTCAGCCACGAAGTGGTAGGCCACGTAAACTGACGGAGCGGGGTCAGCGGATGCTGAAGCGCATAGTGCGAAGAGGTCGCCAACTTTCTGCAGAGTCAATCACTACAGACCTCCAAACTTCATGTGGCCTTCAGATTAGCTCAAGAACAGTGCGCAGAGAGCTTCATGGAATGGGTTTCCATGGTCGAGCAGCTGCATCCAAGCCATACATCACCAAGTGCAATGCAAAGCGTCGGATGCGGTGGTGTAAAGCACGCCGCCACTGGACTCTAGAGCAGTGGAGACGCGTTCTCTGGAGTGACGAATCGCGCTTCTCCATCTGGCAATCTGATGGACGGGTCTGGGTTTGGCGGTTGCCAGGAGAACGGTACTTGTCTGACTGCATTGTGCCAAGTGTAAAGTTTGGTGGAGGGGGGATTATGGTGTGGGGTTGTTTTTCAGGAGCTGGGCTTGGCCCCTTAGTTCCAGTGAAAGGAACTCTGAATGCTTCAGCATACCAAGACATTTTGGACAATTCCATGCTCCCAACTTTGTGGGAACAGTTTGGAGCTGGCCCCTTCCTCTTCCAACATGACTGTGCACCAGTGCACAAAGCAAGGTCCATAAAGACATGGATGACAGAGTCTGGTGTGGATGAACTTGACTGGCCTGCAGAGAGTCCTGACCTCAACCCGATAGAACACCTTTGGGATGAATTAGAGCGGAGACTGAGAGCCAGGCCTTCTCGTCCAACATCAGTGTGCGACCTCACAAATGCGCTTCTGGAAGAATGGTCAAAAATTCCCATAAACACACTCCTAAACCTTGTGGACAGCCTTCCCAGAAGAGTTGAAGCTGTTCTAGCTGCAAAGGGTGGACCGACGTCATATTGAACCCTATGGATTAGGAACGGGATGTCACTTAAGCTCATATGTGAGTCAAGGCAGGTGAGCAAATACTTTTGGCAATATAGTGTACATGTATTACGTTACATTAAATGCATTTTTACGGTGCGATTCTGTGAAAGTGGGGAGTAACAAGATGGCAGCAGGTGACTTTAGTTTTTTCGGTAATCAGAAAACACTTCAACACAATCCTAATGTTTTTTTGTTTGTTTGTTTTGTTTAAAGACCTTTACATTTCTTACCGAATGTTAAAAGGTTTAATCTCCAACCAGTCGTTTTTGGCTGGTGCTAACCTTAAAAAGGAATAATACACCCAAAACTTGATTAGCCTTCATTTTCTACTCACCCCCATGCTGAACAACACTCTGGAGTACTTTTTTGATATGTCAAATGCATATGGAGATCTGGGAGGCTTCTTGCTGTCTGCTGACATTCAAATAATGGAGGTCTATGGTGACCGAGACAGAAAGGTCCATAAAAGTCCACAAAAAACGTGTCAATATTCCTCCATACTGCTCGTCCAATGTATTCCAAGTGTCCTGAGTGGGTAGCATCCAGAATTTACTCGAAGTCATTTAGAATGTTTTTAGAGCATAAACAGTAGTGTATAGGATTTCCTGAAAGCGCGCACCTGCGCGATCACGACGCTACGGAAGCCGGCAGACCAAACCAGATGAAAGTGCGCATTCAGCGTCTGCTCTGCCAATAATGCAAGCGTAGAAGAAGAAATGTGCTGTTTACCTGTGCAAAGAAAGAAACAACAAAAGAAAAATGTCTGAGGACTTCAGTGTTGAGGAAGAGCATGAGTTCTTTGCCGAGCTGAATGCGCACTTTCATCTGGTTTGGTCTGCCGCGGTTTCCGTAGCGCCGTGAACGCGCTTTTAGGAAATCCTATACACTACTGTTTATGCTCTAAAAACATTCTAAATAACTTCGTTTCGAGTAAATTCTGGATGCTACCCACTCAGGACACTTGGAATATATTGGACGAGCAGTATGGAGGAATATTGACACGTTTTTTGTGGACTTTTATGGACCTTTCTGCCTCGGGCGCTGGGCACCTCCATTATTTGAATGTCAGCAGACAGCAAGAAGCCTCCCAGATCTCCATATGAATTTGAGATATCAAAAAAGTACTCCAGAGTGTTGTTCAGCATGGGGGTGAGTAGAAAATGAAGGCTAATCATGTTTTGGGTGTACTATTCCTTTAACAGAATGTGATCACAGTGAGGCTTGTAGGTAAAGGTTAAATGAAGACAGAAATGTCAGATCCTAATTCTTGGGTCTAGCTATGTTAGGTGTTCTCCTTTAGCTGACTAACAGGATGTCCAGCTGAGTTGAGCTGGAGCCAGGGAAGGAGCGGATGGACTGAGTAGGCTGGGCTGAATTAAGCTCCACTCCAGCATCTACTGTCCATCTGTCCCCATAAGGCTCACACAGCAGGACAAGTTACTCAAGTGCCTCGACCTACTCTGCTCAATTTGGCAGCCTCAGTATGAGCAACCCCAACTGTAATTGGCGAGTAATATCCGTCAGACCTTTTCTGTGGCATTTACATTTGAAGTTAGTGTTTGCTTTACCACAGGACATTTACATGAGTTAATTGAATCATTTTTCTCTTTTTAATATCAGTCCTAACCTTTAAATAAATAAAAGGGATTTCTCTTGTTTTGCCTTTTTTTATTTTACATGAAAATTTGGGTTTACTTTGATCTTTTTCTCTAAACACTAAGATTTGGCAGAATAACTTGGCTCTTACAACGACATCATCTGTTTTGAGCAAAATGTAATCTAAAAAAATCCTACTGAAAATCCCTGAAATCATCAGCTATGAGGGTAGAGGAGTCTCTCTCTTTTAGCAGATTGTGTGCTTATTTATCTTTTTATTTCAACATTTTATTTCTAACCCAAAGTGTTGGTCAAACAAAAGCTTTTGGTTCATTGTGGGATTCCTTTTTTTGAATCTGCCACAGCAGAATGGCATGCAATGCAGTAAAAAGCCTTTTGAAATCTGGATCATAAAAATCTGACTGAACCTTTTGTCCCAGTTCTTCTGCTACTTTAAAATGAAGCAGTTGAGTGCTTTTGTGTTTCCCAACTGTGTCGTCCCTGCTTAGCGGCATCAAAGGAGAACCCATTAGCTTGAATATCTTTTCAAACAAAGTTCCAGATAAAGATCTTTTCTGCGATTTACACGTAAAACGTCTTTGGGGCATTAAGAACTTTCCTTTTCTTAACTTTAAATGACAAATAGGCCTGGACTCTTGAGATCTGGCAGTAAATAGCAGACTAAATGATATTTGCAGAGCTTGGTTTGAGTCTGGCATGACCTTAAACAGTCGACACCTGCGGTGCCACCCAGA